AAAGAAACAATTTACGTTGTGTCACTTTTCAGTGCAATCAACGTTAAATTTTTCTTCTAGAAATTTTAAGCAAATTTTTATCAATCTTTAGTCAAATTTAAATAATTAAATATGATAAACTGTTAAAATTTTTACGTCAGAAATTATTAAATATACTATTTAACTACATCAATATCAAAAATCATTTAATTATTATCTCCATTGATTTATAGAGTTATTTTAAAACTCTGACAACTTTTTTAAGGAGTACTAACTCTTTGGCTGAATAGTTCAGATGAAAATTTGCAACAGTTTTGGTCAACAGTAGAAATCAAACACACTTTTCCTATTCGATTTTTAAATGATTCATTTATGACGTCTTTCTTTACTTTGCCAAATTTAGAACAGTGCCGAAATGAAACGATAAGTATTTTGGGATTATAAATTAATTACACACTTTGACTTGTGCTTAATTTATTATTATTATTATTATTGTTATTATTATTATTATTATTGTTATTGTTTTTAGTATGAAAACAAAAGTTTTGAAAAAACTTTTCAACATGACATTGTAAATTTGTATATTATTTTCGAAGGTGTTTTCATGGGATTTATTTCAAGATCAATCAAGATATTTAGTGGTTGTGTTATCAAGATCATCATCATTCGATATACGTAATGTTATCAGACAAACATGGGCTAGTAGTCAAAATTCAGCTGCAATAAAAGTATGGTGTAAATTTTTGCGAAAAAATTTTATAGGTCAGTTAAATGTTTTCAAAAATTTAATTTTTGCTGATTACTAATGAAAATTAAAAACTTGATTTAAATTGATTAGAAATAAGAGAATTTGATAGTATAAAAACACTAGAGAATCTTACTTATTGTTTTAATTTTTATCAGACTCTATCTTGTAAAATGATCTATTTTAAGTTGCTTAAAGTTTCATTTATTATTATAAACGATAGTCATTTTAAAGTTGGAAAGTAGAAATATCAAGTTTTAGGCTCATAAAGTATTGTTGTATTTTATCGTTGGCGTAATAAATGATGGAAATGTAATGTTGAGAATTCTCCAAGAAAATGAAATTTACAATGATATTATTGGTATTAATTTTGAAGATGAATATGATAACTTATCCTACAAGGTAATTAATTATTATTAAGTATTTAATTTTACTAAAACATTTTTTCATACATAATTGTTCTTCAACAAAAGCTTTTCTGTTTTTAAAAGACTTGTGAATTAATTCTTTCAGATGAGTTGTTATATTATCAAATGTGTCATTAGCTTAAATCTGACATAAAATGCAAATTTAAGCGTTTTTATGAATATTCAACTAAATTAATTCATGATAATAGGTTTATGCAGCAATGTACTTTAAAAATAAATACTGCAAAAAAGTTGAATATTTTGTGAAAGCTGATGATGACATTATTATGGATCCTGATCGTTTGGATCAAGTTACTGGGACTCAAGCCGAATCTGCTACTTTGTTTGGGGCTATACGTACAAACGAAAGTGTGATTAGAACAATATGGAATCGTTAGTAAGCATTACATATTGAAGTGTTGAGGAAAAATTAAATTAAACATATTTTTTCGCTTTTTTCAGTACGAACCTTTCTTAAAATTACTCTATTGGAATTCATTAGAAACATTTTTATAATGATTTCATTAATTTTTTTAATTCTTCAATTATAAAAACTGCTTTTTGATTCTTTTAGTTACATTTCACAAAAACGTTATAAAAAGGAATACTATCCACCATATGCAGCTGGCTTATTATATATTATGTCGTCAAAAGCTTTTTCAAAAATTTGGAATGCATTAAATGATATTACGTGGATAAAGATTGAAGATATAGTGTATACAGGTATTGCTGCTGAAAAAGCCAACGTACGACGCGTAGACATCAGCGATTGGTACTCATTTCAAGTCGTACCAGTAAGTTACTCTTTCAAAATTTACTTTATTTCCAGTGCTCTTTTGTTTTTCTTTAAATAATTTTTGTAGTTTTTATCTTAAATATATTTACTTTTTGTCTTTTATAAATTTATTGCGAAAATTTTACAACAAAAATCAATTAAATTAATTAATTAATTTATTTATTTATTAATTATTTTTTCCTGTACACAAAAAAACGTTGGAAAAAATAGTTCGATCTTTGTTTCTGTGCTAATAAGGTATAAATTTTCTTAAGTGATTATGCGAAAAAATGTACTTTTCTTACTTTTATTGATTTCAAAGCAATAATTTATAAATTATGCAAAAAAAAAAAGAATTTTTTCAGATGATATTAGAGAAATGGAATTGTGATGAAGCTGGCAAGCCATTAATTCTTGTTGCTTCATCGTTTACTACTGCTGACCTTCTTCGACAGTTTTATGAAAAATTCAGAAGCTTAAAATGCTATGAATCAGTCAAGAGATCAACCAACAAATTTGAAGAGTTTAATAAATTTCTAATTTGAATAATAAAAGAATTGAAGATATCATTAATTTGTGAATTACCAATTGATTATTTTCACGAATGGATTACTTTTCTCGCAGTAATTATTGTATAAAAAAAAGAAATGACTTAAATTTGCATATATTAGCTTTTCTTCAAAATAAAGATGCATAAAAGAAAGAACTTATGAGAAAAGTGTCATTGTTAGAATTTTTGTGACGATGGGAATACGTTTTTCAAATCAAATCTTTTTTTACAAAAAGCGATGGATGGTGCTAGCTTCAAATTTGGCTTATATTCTTGCTGGAGGTTTTGTATTGTATTTAAAAATCTTTCGAATTTAAATATTCAAAGAAGCAGCAAAAATTTTTATTTATTTTAATCAAAAAAGTATTAAACAGTATTCGTTTTTTGGTAATATTTCTTGAGTATAAAAATAATATATTTTGATGTTTTAAGGCATTTCTCGCAACGAAATATATTTAACTGATTATAAACGAAGTATATTTAATTGAAAGTTTTGAATGAATGATTAGATTAAACAGTTGACGCTTTATAATTATTATATGCTCAAATAATTTATGGTATTTGCAAATCAAATAAATTTGTCAGCAATTTCATTCCAGAGTCAGAATTTATGCTCGAAAAAATTTTTAAAACTTTTAAATAGATTACATGAGTAATAATTGCTGTATGAACTTATTTTTTAATGTAAATGGATTCTTAGTTTTATGCTTGGGAGTTTTCACTAAGAAGCCTTCCTTAAATGAATTCGAAGCTCATTTGACTGGAATCGAACATTATGTGACAAAATTTTTGGATGCGTCTATTCCGTCATTTTTTATTATACTACCCAAACAAAAAATCTGCGAAGGTAGATTTTGGCATGAAATTAATAAGCACTTTAGAAGTAATAATAATCAAATATTTTGTGATTATTGCAGAATTAAAAACTGAATAACCAAAGTACATGATTTCTAAGAATTCAACTAACCACCGCTCCGCTTTATTTTTACTTTAATAATTCGCACATTTTTTTCCTACTATTTTCAATGACTTTGTATTATTTGTTAATTGGTTTTGATAAATCATTATTTTAACGTAAGTACTACTTATCTTGAGTAAAAATTATGTATGCTCGGATTATATGTGGTGCTAGAAATACAATGTAGACACCGACTTTATCGGCTTTCTTCCCTTTCATAGCCTTTAAATTTACATCTCAAATTACTGTGCATTAATTCTTAGAATTTCAATGTTTTTCTGTCAGGCAACACTAAATACATAGTTTTCGTTGTTTCGAGAACAGCCTCTTTTCAAATACGCAATGCTATCCGTAATAGCTGGGCCAATGCTAAGAACTCAACTGTCATTAGGGTAACTTTAAATGCAATTCTAAAAAATCATCCTTTGGTGAAGTAAAGAAAAGAACAGAAAATTTTTGTCATCAGAATTTTAAAAATTGATAAACATTGCCGCAAGTTAGTTTTTGTTTTAAAAAAATTGTTTTTGTTTTTCAACATCAAAAGTTCAACTATTAGATACTCTCTAATGAAAAAAACACTAAATATATTGATTATTTCGCTGTTCGTTAATGCAATATTGATTTTTTTGCTTAAATTTATAGAAAATCGTTAAACTCAAATTACCTCATATAAATATTTTTTTGGTGCACAATCTTATAACTTCTAAATTGAACAGAGGAAAATAGCTGTTATATATTTCATTGTTGGTATTATTCCGGACACCATACTAATGGAAAAAGTACTGCAAGAAAGCAAAATCTACGACGATCTTGTCGTTACTTCAATTAGAGATAGCTATGACAACCTTACATTCAAAGTACAGTTTATAAAAAAAGGAAAAGTTTATGTCATTTTGGTTTGTATACAGAGCAGTATTTTTATTAAGTTGAGCTTTACCACACTACACTCAAAATTGATTACTTTAAAAAATTATTTTAGAATATTTAGGAATAAATTGAATGTTTATTTTTTCTTTTACAATAAATATTACTTGTAAAATAACTTATTTTCAAGACAAACTTGTTTAGGTATATGCAGCGATGCATTTCAAGCAAGCATATTGCAAAGATGTGCCTTATTACATAAAAGTTGATGATGACGTTGTGCTCGACTTAGATCGACTTCATTATCATAAAATGATTATTTCAAATTTATCCTATATTTATGGGTCCATTCGCCGCAGTGAACATGTAATTAGACAAAAATGGAACAAATAGTATAGTTCTTTTTTTTTGCTAATAGTAGAATAATTTTGAAAAAATAATTTACAATTAGTAACAAAAAAAGGCAATATGTTTAATCATTAAGTTAGTATTTGACCTCATAATTCATATTAACACATGAATTACAGACCTCATCTAGCACCTAATTTTTACTTGGATTATTTTACTGCATTACAATTTCTATCTGTGTAAAATACTGATAAATAAAGTTATGCATCATGAACTTCTAATTTAAATTTTAAAATTGCTTCAGTTCATCTAATCAGCCTGAAATGAATTCATAATTTCAGCCACATGCCTAATAATCGTTATCCATTAAATTTCTATCCATCCCATGCAATTGGAATGATGTACATTTTGCCAGCAAAAGCATTCTGGAAAATCTGGCGAACACTACCAACAACCATTTGGTTAAGACTAGAAGATGTTTTTTATACTGGAGTAGTTGCAAAGTATGCGGGCGTTCAACAATATAACATTAACTTTATGTATTCTGCAAACAATGTAAAAGTAAGAATTAGAAAAAATTATTAGAGCAGAATAAACTTTGTTGATGAAAAAAAAAGTTGATAAAAATTGTGACATTAACTTTGCTGATAAAAAGCAATGAGAAGTACTGTTTCATTTTAGTACTAAATTTTTCGTATTCATCAAAAATTAATGCTAAATAATATGCAAAAAATATCAACACAAATCACAGTTTTTGTAAAAATTAGAAATTTAATAATCAATATAGTTCAGAAGTATGATAATACTGATAAGGAAAAGAAAATTTTTTTTCAGAGTTTACCAGAACGTTGGCTATGCAATTATTATAATACGCCATTACTTATTGCAGCCTCTTCTTTCCAAACTCCCTCTGATCTTATTAAATTTTATCAAAAATTACGCAATATTAAATGTTTAGGATATGAAGTTAGTGATACTCTTTACTTGACGAACAAATTGCTTTCTAATATATTTCAGTGATAAATAATCAGCATAATAAAGGTTATTTAGGTGAATAGTTCACGTATATTTTAATTTTTTACTGTATCATTTGCTAGATATTGCAGAGATGAGTAAAATACAATTTGTATCATATAAATTATAATGCGTGAAGTTTTTCTTCTTTGCTGTGATGAAAAAAAATTAAGAGAAGGTATGTGTGCAATACTACTAAACTACTACTAAACTTATCCCTACGTCATAATTTGCACTTTTCAATGAACAAAAGAAGACGTTTGTTGGCAATATGTTGTTATGAAATCGGCAAATATGCTTACATACGTGTATATGTGCGTATTTTGTCTGCCTGCGTGTATACACACATTATCTTTTTGTAAAGGTAGAAATCTCTTGAAATGAAAGCCTTCCTTCCACTATAAGTTGTTTAAACACCAGAACTTCCCTCTCTAATCTGTGTTGGAGATCGAAGAGTCTCGTCTGAGAGTTGAATAAAAATCAAAGCTTGCCGTCCGAAAGTTCTAGAATTTTTTTACATTGCTCTTACAGCCAACCATTGTCGCGAAGGTTACGCTGAGGGGCTGAGGGGCTGACGGCTTCACTGTTGTGAAAATTATGACGTAGGGATAAGTACATTAGTTCTTCTTTCACGCATGTCGACTTCATGGAGTGGCTTGCAGCTTTTGTAATATTTTTGTGATAAATATTTTATTGTTTGTGAAGGGATTTTCCATTTATATTGTATTTTACTAACTTGTGAGACTGTAGGGGTCAAAATATAGTAAGGGTGTTATTAGGGAGGAATGAAAGTCTAGGATCAAATCTAGGATATTGGTACGACAGCGCAAAATTTATCTGAGTTTATGCAGCTTATGAAATTGAGAGCGGTTTTTTACATTAAATTATTGAGAAGAGGAGTCATTGAGTGGATATGCCAGCTCCTTAATTTTTCCACGTGATCTTTCTGTGATTAGTTAAATAGGAGGTTTTGGATGTGCCAACTCCTAACTTAGAAGATCGCGGTGTGACCCTATTTTTGGATCACATCCACTGCGACGGATGTCAGATTAAGACGACTTTGTGCTATCGTCTGAATATTCCTAGATTAGTAGTCTTGAGAGAAAATTTTTAATGTCGAGTTGTTGACTTGACTTTTTGATTTCTGACCTTACTACTGTATTATATGTTTAAAGGATTGTGTGTTTCGTTTTCCTCTGTTTATTATAGGCAATCAAAGAATAGGGATGTGAAAAGAGAAGCTAACAAAGATGAGCTATAAAGAAATTTTTAAAAATGCCAAAAAAATGGAAAAAAATGGAGAAAAAAGAATGAGAAAATTAGAAAAGGTTCGAATGGCTTTGCCATTACGTACTTTGGTATTATCATAAGACTGTTATTGTTAGGAAGTATTTGAAAAAATATTTGTTTGTAATTGTCATCGTGTTATGCTTGTAACTATCGCTGACCATCTGTTGCTGTGTCATTTTCCTCTTGATGCGCTGAAAGCTTCCTTGCTCTTTTTTTCTACAGGTATTCTTTGATTATAGGTAACTATAGATTCATTTTGTCACGAATGTTTCGCCTGCTTCTCTCTTTACAGGCTGATGTCATTAAATTCATACAAGAAACTTAGCATGTTAGTAGTTGTCTTAGAGTTGGATACATGTTTTCCTTCTCTAGATCTTCTGTTTTTGACAAATATTTGACTATCTTAAAACTGGAGTTTAATTTGGTTGTAGACTTTCACCAGTAATGATCACGTTTTATTGCACTAGCTTGTGCTGCTTCAATGAAGTTGTAGTTAAATGTCCTCACGCTAGGAGGGCACTTGCAAATGTTGTAGAACGCCATTAAAGAAATTCAGTATAAGTCGGTGAGATAACTCCACAACAACTGCAAGATCCACTCCGGAAAGAAAATAACGCGATAGAAATTAAGCTTTAAGAACCAGACTATAACGAGAGAGGGGAGTTTACAGGTGATAGTACCGAATGTATGTATGTATGGCGCTGCATCTATCTACATTTCCACATGTGTGTATGGTACCCCGTGTGTCTAAGTCCCTTATATGTCTGCATTTCCACAAATATGATCCCAAATGTCTACAGTCCCTTATATGTCTGCATTTCCACATATATAGTCCCCATGTGTCTGCATTTCCTCATATATGGTCCCCATATGTCTACAGTCCCTTATATGTCTGCATTTCCACATATATAGTCCCCATGTGTCTGCATTTCCTCATATATGGTCCCCATATGTCTACAGTCCCTTATATGTCTGCATTTCCACATATATAGTTCCCATGTGTCTGCATTTCCACATATGTGGTCCCCATATGTCTACAGTCCCTCATGTGTCTGCATTTCCACATATGTGGTCCCCATGCGGTATGTCCTTTCAAGTGTCTGCATTTCCACATACATGTACGATCCTCCATGTGCTTACAGTCGCGCATGTGTGTATGGCCTCGTATGCGTCTGCATTTCCACACCTATGGTCCCCCATGTGTATGTCCCTGTATGTGTCTGTGGTTCCACATATATGTCCTCCCCTCCATGTGTCTACAGTCTCGCAAATTACAAAATATCAATTACAAGATATTTTAAAGGTGTAAATCTGCGGTAAATACTGGCAATTTTTTGTGTTTGGAGTAATTTTCTTTTGGTACTCATAGTATTTCTATAAAAAAACTGCAACTTCTTATTTTTCTCATTATTAGCTCTAGTGTAAGAAACTAAAATACAACGAGAAATTTAAACTAGTTCATTTGAAAAGTGTTTAGTCGATGCGGGAGACCTAATTTCGATGCTGGAAGTAAAGCTAAAGATCGTTTTAGAATGTCCTAATCGCTCGACGAACCTTTTCGAGGAACGTGAAAACATTTTTTGGCGGGATTGAGACATGGAAACTGTTGATTTGAATCGTGGCATTAGCACCACAATCTTTGTGGTAATTAATAATGATGATAATATTGACCATGTCATAATTACAAGTATTATTTCATGATTGTGGGCTCATAAATAAAGTAATAGTTTCGATGAATCAAATAATGACTTATAACAGTACTTCTTTTTTGAGCATCCTGAATTCATAGTAGTTTTCCTCATGTCTGCTTCACTTATTTCAGAGTAATCTTGTGTTAGATTCCATAATGTTTATATCTTTTTTTACTTACAGTGTCGAGATATTGCTTTATTCTTAATATCGTCTTAATTTGTTATTGATCTAAGGTAATTCATTTCGAACTCATTATAGTTTTGAAGCTGTTTTGCGGGCTTCTGTGGTCATAAATGATCGGACAAAAACATGTGCGATTTATATTATAACAGTACATATGAATTATTTGTTGCGAACTTGATAAGGAAAGTAGTTAGGCATCGAAGCATTTTGAGTTGAGACATAACATTTTCATAAGGAAGATGTATTATAAACTGCTTATTATTTTGATATTTTGCTTTGGAGGGTAAAATTTTTCATTGGTTGTGTTATGTAATAATTGTAGTTACAATGTAAATAATATTGTTGTTAAGATTTGTGTTGTTCTTAATGTTATTTAACATATGTTTGTGTACAAAAATTTCATAGGTGGTGACGCATTTGGATTAAATGATTGATAGGTAAGAATTAGATGGCATCCGTTAGTGGGCCTACTGAGCAGAGAAATGAGGAGGAAAGGGAAGTTGTTCTAGAAGAACTTCCTGAGGAACTTATCAGGTTTCTATGTTTTTCTGATTCTTCATCCTTAAATCATATATTTTAATTAAGCTCGAAACATAATGCTGAGTGCTATTTAAAATTATCGAAGTATGGCATTCTTTCAGCTTTCTCTTTTCTTAATATGTGGATTAAACTTTGGTTTTTCGTAGATTTACGTCGTTAATGGTGAAGACGTTTTATGGAAAAGAACATTACGTTATTTTGAATTATGTGCAACGAAATAAGTGCATCAAAGAAGATGACCTTAGGCAATTATTGAAGTTCGATCAGCGTTTCTTAAGAACAGTTATTTTGTTTGTATAATTTCTCACTCTTTACACGATTAATTGAGTCACATTTTTTAGCACTGGGGGAAAACTTGAATCACTGTTATGTACACTAATCAGTAGTGGTACTACTCATTTTAGATTTTAATGCAGCTAAAAGTTGATAAAATTCTGAAAGAACGGCTCGTATCAGAAGAAGTCGATGGTCGGACACGTAAGATCAATTACTATTTCGTGAATTATAAGGCATTGTTAAATGTTGCAAAATATAAAATTGATCACATGAGGTTCATATTTTTCTTTGTATAACGTGATAATTATTTTTGTGCCTCTTCCCTCGACCATTTCCCCGTAAAAACGTAGAACATTCAAGAAAATGTTTAAATGCGCACCTTTACTGGTGCTGGTTCGTCTGAAATTATCAGTACATTTTTTAGATCTGAGAATATGCTAGTAATTATGATGATACTCGTCTCATGATTCCCAAAAATAAATGACAAAAAAATGACCACTTCAACACACAGTTTCCTAATTCGTTTCCATATTTTTTTAATTGTATTTCGTATTCTCTAGACAGCGTTTGGAAGTGAAAGATAAGGATGAGGTGCATAAAGCGCTGTATCGTTGTACTGGTTGCCAATATCAGTATGATGCCATGGAAATGGATAAAATTTTTGATCCAATAACACAAGAACTTCGATGTTGGCGGTGCCATAAAACTGTTGAACCGGATGAAACTGCTGGTCCATCAGATGAGACGAGGTGAAGCCTATTTCACTTTCAAGAAGTCATGGAGTTTGTTGGTTAAGTAATCCCTTCTTTTCAATCTCATTGACGACAATATGGAAGAATTGTGGTTTCTTGCTGTTGTAATCCATATATTTGAGGTCGTCTCTGGCACAGTTTAATGAACAAATGACACCTTTTTACACAATGTTGCAAAGCCTATATGGCATACGTCTTGCTCGGCATCTGCTGGAACCGCCAATTAAAGCTGCAGATAATACAGTGATGGAACGTAAGTCATTTTCTAAATTATGTATCTAGGAGATGTTCATGAAATTATATTTTACTTATATATTTACTAAGCAAACATAGAAAATTTCATATTTATTGTTTGGATATTTTTGAATGATGATTTCTCAGCAGAAGCAAAACAAATGGCAGCGATTGGTGAACGAGCATTAAACGATGAGCCAGGCACATCTCGATCTACTATGTACCAGAGTAGTATAATGGTTAGCATAGTGGATAGTGAAGCCCCAAAGATTGAACATAAAAAGCTTGTGCCTTGGCTTCATAGTGATGAGGTTTGATTTCTAAGTTATTTGTATAAAAATACAATTTTTGAAAATAGATATAAAAAGTTAAAAAGTGTAACACTTATTTTTTCTCTTTTCCAGAAAAATGAACCAGTCCAAGATTCCTTTTCAAATCTTTCGGAAATACCCACAGAGCATGATCCCGTTCCATTTGAACCTAGTACAAGTGATATTGACAGCTTGTTGTTCACTGAATTCGAAGATGCAAGTTTTATTGCACTTATTTTTCACGTTTTGTATGTTAATGAAAGTTAAACAAAATGAAGTACATAACGTAAATTCCTTGAACATCAGTTATGACAAAGTTGAGAGTGACATATTTTATCGCAAATTCTTGTATCAGCTGCTTATACTTGTGGTAAATTTCTTTGAGATCTCTAGTTTGTATCATATAAAGTCTTTCGCAATTTAGGTAAGGCCGGGGCCATCAACTGCAAAAGATTACCCTCTGGAAGATACATTTGGATCTGCTAATGCAGAAAGTGATGACGAAGACATTATTTTTGTTGGTGGACAAAAGTATTACTTGGACGAAGTCACTCCATATTTGGTGTCTCAGATGACTGCTTTGGAAAAAGCAGCTTATATCCAAAGGTCGCAAGAAAATTTCGATTATTGATTATATGTAATTTTCAATATGACTTGTTGAATACTCAGTACTAGAACATGGTTGCTGTTCACTCCATGAATTCATTACTGCACTTCGTTGTTTACCTCTTATGCTAATTTTTCCGTTATTTGAAGTGAGTGGAGAAAAAAAATGGAGTTTACGAAGTACCACTGCATTAAGGTCTTATTAGGATTGATCAGTATATTCCAGGTTTATCTGTTCTACTAGTTAACGTTTGGATAGCTAAGTAAAACACATTCGTTGAGACAGTTAAGTAATATGCTGTTTGAAATAACACACTCGTGATAAATTTAGATAATAATGAATACAAAATGAATACAAACCTTTCCGTTTAAATATTTTTGAAATTAATAACTGTCATTTCGTTTAGTACGACTCCTGATAGATCCAACATCAGTAGGGAATCATTTTGGTCTGTTTTCAAGCCGGTAGCACCATTCATCGTTTTTCCGTAGTTCTCATTTGTTTCTTCAATTCATTTCTTTCTACAGTATTACTATTCCTATATTTTGAAAATGTTGCTCGATGAATTTTGCAAATGCAGTATTACTTTTTGTTGCTTAATAATACGATTTTTTATTTGACTGGATCTTTATCCATGGTGCATAAAGAATTGATCTCATAGATTTCATAGCAAAACTTTCATGAGTGTATAACAAACACAGGTAGTAATTATACTGACGTAATCCAATTAGCATTAAGCAAGTGGTGTGTTTTTCAAGCAGCTGAAATTATATTCTGATTGTTTGATCTTTCGGTATACTTAATGACACTAAAAACGATACTCAATTTCATAAAATAGATGTTTTAAATTGAAGTATCAATCTGAGTACAGTAGTTTAGTTTATTGTACTAAACAAAGTGATTATTTGGACATAAATACTACGTAATATAAATTGGCGTACTGACTAGTAAATGTAACAATCAAGTCAGAAATTATTCCTCAGTTATGCGATGTTGAGTCTTATCATATGAAGGAGAGATAACTCAGGCAGTACTCTATGTGGTTTTTTCGACAAAAAATTATGTAGCAACGTCAGTACTTGGACTCGTACCGCGACTCATTACATGTAGTGAGAAGTAGAAACCGATTTCATTTCAAGGATAAAAATTCCGTCCATTTACTCTTATTATTGTTATTTTCTACCTGCTGTGATTACTGGCATTCAGTTATACGTGAGTAGTGGTGGTGCAGTTTTTTATCTTAGGAAAAGAAGATCTAGAAACACGTGAAGTTTGGTATTTGAGTAAAACGAATGCATTGACGTGATCGATTTCATGAGATAGTAAGGAATTTGTCAGTTACAAAATACAAAGGTTTGAGAAGAAATATACATTTATTTATATTGTTATGATGATATAAAAATTATCTAATTCAAATACTGACACAAATATGGTAGGGATAGTGATGCTACGCAAGTGAAATATTAAGAGCGTCAGCAATAACAAACATCAGAGACTGTGAATGTGTGACTTTATAAAGAAACTGGGAAGAATAATTAATTGTCTTTCAAATAATGCATTTATGTTTCCCGTGAGGATTTTGAATTTCACTGCTGTCGTAGTTGGATTTGATGGATTTGATTCTAAACATCTGTTCGCATGGAGCAAAAAAGAATACAAAATATATTACAGTACATTTATTTATAATTACTTTGCTATCTCGAAAAACTTCAGAAATGCAAGAAAATCTTAGCACAAACATCAGATCAAATTTATGAAGCTATTCAGCGATGCAAATTTTCACTTACTCATTTACTACTGTTATATATGAAGCATTTTCGCTGCAGTAAGAAAACATAACTCAGTAAAATATTTGAGTCTGCGAAAGTATATTTTTTGTTTACTTTTTATCTGCAGATCTTCTTAAACTTAATACTAATTTTTGATTAATATGGAGAAAACAGAGTAAGAAAAGTGATGTGTCGCAATTAGGTACACATCAAGTCGTTCAGTGAGAAGGTTGTTTCTTTGTTCAAAAAATGCCCATATTTTGAGCTTCAAGTCATTTATGATGACCATACGACGGTACAATCTATGTACTTTGGATATGCAAATTAACTTCAGTATTAAAGTCATTTAAGCTAAACATTCGGTTGACTAATTATAATGCAAATTAAGCATAAAGGTCACACAGTGATTTATTTGAGAAAAAGAGGGAATGGTAGTGCAGCAACGGATAGAACGATGAAACGCGCTCAAATCGAAAATTAAAGCAGTAGTTTCTGTACAGTTAGTACGTTTGAAAAGTCTTATTTACACTGAAGACTAGCAGATTCAGCTAAGAAGTTTGATATCTTTAAAATCTATAAAAGTTGTAAAATAAAATGAATTCTAAGATCAGTTAACATCTCAAAATAGTGTTTTAGTATGTAAAATACACAATAATTGCATACATAAATATATATAGTCTGATGAAGTTTTGAATGAAAGCTTCAGCTTCTTCACATCAGTTCAAATAAATATTTAAGCACAAGTGAAAATTAGCAGTGAACTTAGAAAGCCTAATTTTCATAATATTTAAAAAATTGCCATGGCAACTAATGCATGTATTGGTAATACGAGGCTTAATTTGCACACTGCAGTCAGAAATTTACATAATTTTCTGTTATGTTTGTCTACCTGAGCAAAAAGGTAACTTTCTAAAGCTTACAACTACGAAAAAGGCTAAAATTCTTGAGAGGAAATTCTGAAGATTATATTCTAATAGTATTTTATTGTTTTTTAAAACTAAATCGGTATTGACAAGTATTCTTAGTTTTCGTTTTTACATTCTTTAAAAATAAAATACGAAGGCATCAATAGCATCATATTTTTAAATTCTTCACAGATGCTTCACTATTTGATCCGTTATCTGTTAATGAAGTACATTACTAAATGCCACACAGCCTTCTTAATTTGAATATATATTTTGAGTTAACACAAATACAAATTATGAGAAATGGAATGCGCAGTCGTAAAAAAAATTAGTATAAAAATTGGCAACGAACCAAAGGATTGACTTTTTATAAAAATTGACATTGAATATTAATGTTTTTTTCGAAGCGGATTAATTGTTCTGAGAGCATTCAAAAATATACTAATATCAAATTCAAGTTATTAACGATAATTTTTAGATTTCTACACCAAACAATTCACAAATACAATGCGTGTCTTGGATGAAAACTCTCGGATTCATTGCAACTGGAGGAGAGCAAGGATTTCTTAAAGTCTTGAAATTACCACCTAACGGTGAATGTTATTCATTAGTACCTAAAATTAATTTTCACGTTATTTATCACTTTCTAAATATATTATATCAGTAATGAAAAGCAAAAATTGTTTCCTGCAAGTAAAGCATAAGAAGAAAATTAGTTAAACATGTTACTATGAGTGAAAAAATAAAATAAAATAAGATGGTCACTTATTACAAAATTATTTTTAACAGAAGTAAATCGCTACGGTCAGCAATCCTCTTCTAGCCGTTCCTCAACAAATTTGACTGTAAATCAAAACTTAAATGGTCACAAAGGGAATGTGTTGATAGCAGAATGGAATGAATTTTATCATAAATTGACCACTAGTGATAGTAATGGGTTAATTGTTCTGTGGTTGGTTCAAAATGATAACTGGTTCGAAGAAATGATTAATAATCGGAATAAATCAGCTGTGATTGGCATGGCATGGAGTCACGATGGACATAAAATTGTCATTGCTTATAAAGATGGTTTGTTTCTTATTCTTCTTTTTCTGAAATTGCACCGTAAAATTTTACCTGTCATTGTGAAAAAAAAAGTTTAATCATCGCTTAATTAAATTATTAATTTATATAAATGAAATAAAAATCACTTTACTTGTTAATTTGTACTTCGTTGTACAAAAATTTTATCTGATATATTATATTAGTTATGGCTATTTTTTGAAAGTGTAAACAAAACAAGATAAAGTGATAATTAAATCCTTAAATTCTGTAGTAACTGATAATAAAGTTAGAATGCATTAAGCATTGATAAGATTCAGGACAAACCATTGTTGGATCTGTTGAGGGAAATCGTTTATGGAGCAGAAATATTGCCAATGATTTATTAGCAGTTTGCGTAAGCTTTACTCTATAATAAAAATTTGAGAAAAATGTTAAGAAGTACTGAATGAAAAGTAGCTAAGCTTGAATGAATTAGACTATCTGAACAGCAAAGCTTAAGCCTTGCTGTAATTATTTACAAAATACAACTATTTTGCCTTTATTTGCATAATTTTTATGAGATTTTTTCATTGCCTTTAGAAGCGCTTAATACTGAATCATTCGTAGTAAATGATTCAAATACTGAGAATACTGAATCTTTCATAGTAAAATGAACACTGGTAAGATTGAGATTAAAAAATTTATAATGATTGCAATAGCAATCAAAAGTTGAAGTTGACTTCTTAAGTGGTCAAGGGATTCATCAATGCTATATTTTGGTCTGGATGATGGTGAAGTTCTTGCATATGATGCATCAGGCACATTCATTCAAAAAGTTCATATGGTTTGCTTGGAAAGTGTCGAGATGGAACAAGCATTAAACAGTTACAATTTTGAGACATCTCAATTTTTTTATTGAATAAAGAGTTGGATGTTTTGATTGTGAATACTTTCATGGAATCAAAGTTGATATCTCCATGAAAGAAACTCAGAATTGAATGAGTACCACTTTCTAAGATTGTTTTTAGAAGACTTGCACCGTGATACCATTATATCTATGAATTGGTTTGTCCCAGTATTTCGATCTGAAGAACATTCAGTAAGCTTGCAAAATATTTCTAATTAAATTAAACCTAAAAAATTAATATTATTTATGATTCTCTTTTTGCTTTCTTAGCACTGATATAGAATGACTATTGTATAATAAACATTACTTTCACTTGACTATAAAATTTTTACGCTTCTTCCATGACTGCATTCGAGGTTTTGAAACGATCAGCTTCTATCTCAAATGACCGACCTAAGTTTCTTGTAGCGTACAGACATGGCGTTATACAAGTAATGAGAAACGAGAATGATGCAAGTCAGTGAATTTATTTAGGTTATTAAGAACAAAATTTTGCTATTGAAATAATCAGTAATAAATAAATAAGTATACTAATAATTATACAGATCCAGTAATTATCAAACTTCCAAATATGATTCTGTGCAAAGCTAAATGGTCTCCCGATGGATCAGTGATTGCAATCTGTGGTATACTAACAGATAAAAGTGGTCAAAAATGTGTTATCCATTTCGCATCTGCTTATGGCGAGGTTACTTTGATACTCATAACTTTAGAATGTACAAGAAGTATTGCTTAGTAGGAAAAAAACAATCCAAACAATATCTAGTGTTACCTAAAAACAAAGAACAAAAAAATTGGTACTTGCCTATTTACTTAATGTCAAACAGTTTAACAGTTATTTAGTCAGTACTGATTAACTGTTAGAATCTTGACAGTACTGAGTTGCTAATTTATATATTACTCAATTTCTTTTTACTACTCAAATTTTTGTTTTGAGTTATCAGTTGTAAAATGGAAATTTGAATTTTGTTATTAAGCGTATAGGAAAAAAGTAAGTAATCATTGGATTGATCATAAATTTCGTGATTTTCACTTCAGCTCAGTATGTTACAAAAACCTGATTGCTGCTTGAAATTATGAATTCATTATATTACTTCTAGCCGTTGAGAAACTTGCAAATACCAGGTCAGACAATTACGGATATATCATGGGAAAGTGAAGGCTTACGTCTCTGCGCGGCGGTTGATAGCCATTTATTTTTCGCAAATATTCGACCAAATTATAAAGTAAACGTGAATTATTGATAATTATTTTTTGAATCTATTTATGGTATTACTAATAATTAACTGAAATTAATTAAATGAGTAGGCAGCTAAAAAAACTATATTTATCAATATCACTTATCTTTCATTCACATTTGTAATGATAATTTAATTTTTTCTCACAAAATATAGTTATAGTTAGAAAAGCTTAATTTATTTTGTACATGAAACCAATGCAATAACTTTACGAGAGCATATTACTTAAAATATCCATCAAAAGAGGATATTACATCTAGCCATAGTTTAAATAAATTCTTAAAAGTTGCTTGTTGCTTTTTATGAGCTTTGATAAGTTTATTTAATAAGTATGAACATTACTATACTTGCTTAGTTTTCATTTCAGTGGGCATACTGTAGTCAAACAATCATTTATACATATGAAAAAGTAGAAAATGCAGAACACTGTGTTGTTTTTTTTGAAACAAAACTTGAAGAAACTTTTTTAAAATATACAAAACAAGTACTTGCAATCACTTCTTGTGGTGAGTATTGTGTTTTGATTACTCGTGCGCAGGATCAAGTTAATCAGGTTAGTAATTTATTATCCAATACTGGCATTTTTTGATTATAGAAATGATTTTTTTAGTTTTCTTTCAAATATGTATAGTTGAATATTAAGTATACAACGAATGCAAATGATTAACAAAATTTTTTTATGTAAAATTTTATTTAAAATATATTTAGTTAAATATTAATTATACAACAAATACAAATAGTTTTTTAATTTTTTTAAACAAAATTTTTACCTTTTATTTATTATCGTAAAATTAAAGTATCAAATATAACTGTTTTGATTACAGTATTGAATATTCATAATTAATTTATAATTCATAATTATGGGAAAGCTTTCTTACAGTATTTTATGCAAATTTGCAATGGTATTGGAACAACCCTTGATTCAAAATATTTTAATATTGAGCCGAAATATGTTGCAATGAATGAAACACAAGTAGTAATTGCTAACAACTTATCATTTACCACATGGCAGTACAGTATTCCATATGCTTCGAGTCAAGGATACAACACGCAATCCGATGCTTCTAATTCATTTGAAAACACTGAGCAGTAAGTTTAAATTTCTATTTTTAAAAATTTTTCAAGTTTTGGAGCTTTAAAAAAATATTTATTTCGATAATTGTGCATTGTTACTATTTTCAGTTAACAAAGTTCTAGATACTTTCAGATATTTAAATATATCTTTTAAACATTACTTTAAATATTAAAAAAACAATAAAGTGTTCAGACTGCATTATGTAGACAAAAAATATGAGAAGAATGAAGCTCCGTGTGATGCGCAGAAACGATTTCAGATAAGTTTTCTGTTTATCCTCAAAAAATGAACTTAATTCTATTTTGTCAAATTTTTTGAGTTATTTTTTTTCTACAGAATAATATGAAGTATTTGTTTGTTAATTATATATGAGTGAAATATTCGCCATTGAAAAGCATTTTTGTTTATGTTTGGATTTTATCAAAAAATAATTTCAGGCATCCCACGATGAAATTAGTGCTTTGGGAATTGCAAAAAATTTTCTACTTGTTGTAAGATTCACAAATTATAATTTGCTTTTAATTCATTTTGACAAAATTAAATTTTTCAGGCGATTAGAAAGGAAGCATTCATACTTTTTAGCAGTAATAATGAATATCATTTAAACGTATATACTATATGTTTTTAAGTAAAAATATTTGACATTTTTAAGTAAAATATATGTATATAATAGTTGCACTGTTTAATTATACATAATTTGTTTTTTCTGCGCATTATTTATTTATAAAACGAACGATCAAAATTGATATTTTTACTTAATATATTTTACTTAAAATAAATACTGCAAAACTAATTCATTAATGAGTTAATTTGTGCAGTTCCGTGATTCTGGTACAGTACATCGTTATGCATTACCAGATGTTACTTTTCAATCAAGCTTTACTTTAAATTGTCGTGTTGAAAAAGTGGAATTAAATTGTGCTGGAACACGAATAGCTGTGCTTACAAATGAAGGATTGAAGCTGTATAAACTAACTGAAAACAATGCTGAAGGACTGAATTTCGTACGACACGATGCTTGGAATATGAAATGGGACGAGGTGAGCATTAATCTTTTCAGTGTAAACTATTTAGCTGCATATTTTTTTCTACACTGAAAAAGGAGATAAGTTGTGGATTTTCTGAAATTATATCATCTAGTTTTGTTTAAAATCAACATTGCAAAAATGAATTAATTGTTAACTTCTGATTCTAGAAAGTTTAAATTTCAAGAAATCAAGTAATCCATCTTCCTAAAAGTTTTAATATCAAATTTTCAAAAAAAGTATGGTAATCAAAGTATTTGACGTTTATTTGAATGAGTCCAAATAATCGCTTAGGAAAAAGACGACTCAATAGCAATAATGGAGAAATCAAAGTTGTATATTGTACGGAATACAGAAACGGAAGAACCGGTTGTAAATGGCGGTTATATTTGCTGCTTCAGAAGTCTTATTGTTCGTACCGTTCTTCTTGATGAGATAATGCAAAATCCCCAAACACCTCACAAATCATTCATTATTGATGTGGAAATTAAGGTACTGTATGAGTTTTTTTTGCAGCTTAAAATTCAGTAAATTCAACAAAAATAACATTTTTTGTGGTAATAATGCTTTAATTTTCTTATCAATTACATTATAAATCTTCACCAGGTAAAGATTAATAAAAGTATTCAGGTAAAGTCTAATTTGTCCGCATTTAAATTTCAGTCATTCCGACATGTGAAAAATCTTTTGGATAACATGAAAATTCATGAAGCTACAGCATTTATTGAAAAAAGCAATCATCCAAAATTATGGGCTTTATTAGCTGAAGTAGCATTGAACAGACTTGACACAGCGGTTGCTGAACATGCTTATGTAATGCTTAAAGATTATGCTGGGATTCAGCTTATCAAAAGGATAAACGCTTTACAGGTTGATTTTTAAAAAGTTCAAAAATGTTATTTTTGATGGTTAATAAAACTTTTTTATTAATTTTTTTCAAATATGCATATTATTTAAATTGTTATGCAAGTATTCAGAATGTGTATATTGTAGAGTGATGAGCTCAAAAAAGCTGAAGTCGCTGCATTTTATGGGCGTATTGATGAAGCAGAAAAGATTTATATCGAAAACGATAGATTTGATTTAGCAATTGCTTTACGAGAAAAAATGAACGATTGGTTTCAAATAAGTGACATGTTGCAGAAAAATAATCAGCCAAACGATGAATTACTACGAAAGGCGTGGAATAACATTGGTGATTATTACGTGGAAAGACAGAAATGGTAAAATACAATTTATCGATGAATAATCATTTAATCACTTTAGTAAATTTTTAATTTTGGTTTTTTCCTTGATCGCTTCAAAATAATAGCAGTGCAATTAACATTTTTAGTCATTAGCTTTAAAATATTTTACGTGATTTATCTCTTCAACACCACCTCAATATGAAGTACAGTTAAATTGAGAAGCTAATTTAAGTATCAATCAAGCATTCCAAATTTGGCTTGCTGAAATAATATATTCTGAACTTGCAGTTGATGAAAATAGTAATGAAATTGAATAAATATAATTTTTATTTGAAATTTTAAATTTGAACTGAGATATTTAATTTCTTCACCAAATCTCATTGAACATCCAAGTCTAACCTTTGCTCAAAAAAATTGTTTGATGAGAACAGCAAAATGAACTTAAAGATTTTTCTAGGAAAGAAGCTGAAAGTTATTACGAGAAAGCAGAAAATTACGCACAACTTATTCCTTGTTATCTGATGAATGATGAATATGAAAAATTAGAGCAGATGGCTAAGCAATTACCTGATAATCATGAGCTGCTTGTGGTAAGCTAGTAATGCCCTATCTTTATTATTATTTTTGATGAACTAACTGTCCAACGGATAATCTCAGTCTTGGACTATGCTTAGTAACTTTTATCATTTATATTTATTTGCATATATATCACACGTCACTACTCATTGTTGATTTATGCAGGAAATCGGTGAACTTTTTCTGGATGCTGGCTTGTGTGAAGAAGCTGTACAATGTTTTATTAAGGTAATTTTTCAAATTACAAATCTAAGACGGAATATCCTTTCAAATATTAGTTCAAAATTTACAATACCTTAAATAATTGTTACGTATGAATAAGTGTGGACGAATAAAATGAATGTGCTAACTTGTATTTTAATTACTTTATAAAAAAGCAGCTACTAAAAAAATTATAAAAAATAAGTTTTTCGAGTGGAATATAATTTTACATTTTTTTTGCAATACCGAAATTGAAGTATAACGTTTAAACTTTTCGAAAAGGAGCAGTTTTTAGATGTGTTGAGCAGACATTTGAGGAGAAAAGTAAATTATTTGGTTAATTTAAAAGGTTTGACACGTGCGCATCACTTTTAATTTATGTATTTATTAAATTTTAGCATCAATTATTTAAAAATCATTTAATGGTTTTTATTTTTTGTGTGATATGTTAAATGAAGCTTTGGACGCTTGTATTCAATTGAACCAGTGGGAATATGCAGTAGAACTCTCCAAAACACACAACCTTCGGGATATAGATACTTTACTCAACCGCTATGTCGAACAGTTCAAAGGTCTGTAAGATTAGTTGTTTCAATATTTGTATTTACTAAGACTCATTTACACATAATTTAAGATTATTTTGTGCATGTGCTGCAAGGATTAATACCTTTACCATTTATGCACAACTTCGTCATTACTACAGCTCATGCCGACAATATTCTAGAAATAATTTTTAAACAAGTGTATAACACGTGTAGTATTAGCTGAGTTTAGCAAAATTATAGCTTGAATTTGTAGGAAACAATGAGAGGACATTAGCTGTTGTACAATTGTATAAGAAAGCTGGGAAGTATCTGCAGGCTGCTCGGATGATTTTTGACGTATGTTTTTTATAGAAATAACTAAATAATATTAATTGCGTAGTTATATAGAACTATGCGGATGAAACTTTCACGTATTAGTTTGAGATTATTTTTTCAAGATTCGGCTTTCTAAATTATCCTCTTCATTTAGATTGCAAGTAATGAACGTAAAAAGCACGCAGAAGCTTTACGCATGAAAAAACTTTACGTGCTTGGTGCTCTTCTAGTTGAACAATATCATAAACAGAGTAAAGCAGAAGTTGCCAGAGATTCACATAATAAATCTGAAGTATTCATCTTGTTATACACATTCACGAAGCCTTAATACTTCATAAAAGTGATTTAAATGCAAATTTATGCCAATTTAGTTAATGAATATTTGCTTTAGTAGAGTAGTTTTTTATCAAATCCAAAGATTGTAGAGCCAGTATATTGACAGAAACTTTCAAAAAATAAAAAATACAAAAATTTGATAGATATTTAGAAAAAATAATACTGGAATATAACATATATATTAAGGCTGAGATAGCTCTGAAAGGATTACTGGAAGAAGATTCTAAACTTTCGCTCAGTGATAGCATACTTATCGATAATGCATGGCGAGGAGCTGAAGCGTATCATTTTTATATGCTTTCTCAGCGGCAACTTTACGAAGGTCAGTCTTAAATTTGAATTGATTAGCATCTTTTGTTGTTATCAATTTTTATTTTGAACTTTTATAAAGAGTAAAAAATGATAATTAAACTTCATTTCTTGATGCGTTATTTTATGTAAAGTCACAAAATTCAACACAAAAATAAATTTGTAGGTGATGTTGACAGAGCAATGACAACAGCATTACTTCTGACTGATTATGAAGATTTCATCGAACCTGTAGAAATTTATTCTCTTCTCGGTGCGTTCATTTCGACTTTTTTTAAATTATCTTATTTGAAGAATTAATTTTAGCGTAATAAATGCTTGAATTGCTTTATAGTTGATGGGCGAATAAGTCATACATTGCATCTTCTAGCTAATCTCAAATGAAGTCTGTAGTGTAGAATAATGCATTGGCTAGAAATTAAAATTCATGATTATAGTAAGTAATATTTGAAAAATCAATTACTAATATTATATTGAAAAGTTACAATGCAATACTACTTATACGTTTACGTAGTAATATTTAAAAGCTTAGTAACAGTCTACTTAGTAAAGTTAGTTCACTTAGTAATATTTGAAAGATCAATTACAGTTCACTGCCGCCTATACGTCGAAAAAAATGGTACCATTTGAACGTTAATTAATTACAACTGTTAATAATACTTTATTATTTGCAACCACAAATGTTATTGTAATCCATAACTGATAACAATGAATCAATTTTTCAGCTTTATCAAGTTGCGTTGCAAGACAATTTGGAGTTTGTAGTCGTGCATTTATCAAACTTGAAAGTTTGGATTCATTCACTGCGGACGAGAAGAAAGCTTATCAGAAACTGGCTTTAAATATTTACACGAAGTCAGTATTATTTTTTTTGGTCTGCACCAATGAGACAAAAAGTATTGAGATATTTCTGACTAACTTTCAGATATCCGCCCGAAGATACAAGAGTAAACCACGTGTTATGCACTGAGTGCAATTCACAGATACCAGACTTTTGCTCAATATGTCCAGTTTGTGAGTTCAAATTTTCAAGATGTATTGCTTCTGGCCGTCCCATTCTCGATTACCAATTTTGGCTCTGTTCAACTTGCAAACATCGCGCATATCAGAAAGAAATGGACACACGGAAGTTTTGTCCATTATGTCATGAAGGGATATAAGTGTTATCAGCAAGAAATTAATTACGTCTGATTTCTGATAAGGTGGAAAACACTGATTTATAAATAGTTTGAAACTGAACTTTTTACAAAACAGAATGTTGCATTTAATTCAGATTTTATTGCATCAAAAACCTTGTATAGCATTACAAAATAATTGCACTGTTTATAATCGCGCCATTTATCCTTAATCATTTTTTAGTCTCATTAGCAAACTGTTTATATGATTAGCCTGAAATCAATTGCAATTTAATAACCAACTAGATTACAGAAAAGAATATACAAAATTAATTACCATTAAAAGTTTTAATTTTTATTAATTACTGATTTAAAGTAATGCATTATAAATGATTAATAATTAAGATTCATTATTAAAAGTAGTATTGGAAATTAAACAATTCACTACTCCTTTTACCTCGTAAAAATGGTGCTATTTGAACATTAATTAATTACAAGTGTCAATCATATTTTGAATTTGCACTGAATAATTTTAAAATGTTATTGTAATAACTTATGACTGATAACAGTGATCACTGATTATTTATCACAGTGATTGGAATAATTATGAGAAAATGATCTGCTATGTAAATATTGTATGCAAAAAGAGTAAGTTTATGTTACTTGTGGAGTGCTGAGTATGAGATCAGCTCCTGATCTAGTGCTTATTTCAATATATGGGCGATCAACTTTAAGAACCCATTTCAAGCCTTCGATTGGATAACTTTGAATTAGTACCATTGTTTGAGCATTAATTAGATGCAAACCATAATCATTTACACCAGCTTTTACTGGTAAGTTTAAACTTACAGGCTGAAAATTCAAGCTATAAAAAATTATGCAAATTAATTCTATTTTCATTCTTGTTGAGAATTTTCAGTTTTTCTAAAATAAATAATTTTTTTTCTTCGAAACTATTAAACAAGCTTTATTTTTCAGATTATTTGACATGTTGGTGCTTAATTTTGCTTGGTACGAGTAATATTTTTTAGTTCTTCAATAAAACGCCTACGATTTTATCTTTTTATCTATTAAAAAAGTACAGTATGCGAACTACAATATTAATTGCTTTAAGCTTATGAAAGTGAAAGATAACTTTTTTCATGAATATAATAGCATCGAAAAATGTAGCACCATAAACATTGAAGCGCCAACAAATCTGTAAAAATATTTGTTGTAATTTGATTAAATTAGTTCCATTTCGAGTTCGATGTTCAGATTCAATGCGAGAAAGCATTGCTTTTAATTCTTTGCTTGATGATGGCAGTCTATGCATTGGTATTATTGTAGCTAAAGTCTTCTCACTGAAAACATTAAAAACTTCTAAAAATTATTTGCACAATTTAAATATTTTTGAACTTAAAAAGAAATTTAATTACTAAGGAAAATTACTTTTTAATAATTACAAAATTTATACATAAATGAAGAAGAAATTATTAATACTCAGAAACTTTATGAAGTAATTAAACGAACGTAAGTTTAATTTTGCTGCCATAAACAATTTGTAGCATAATTGCTGCTAACGATATCAAATCACGATCTGAACACCAGTATAATCCTTTTAGATAATTGTAACGACATTCATCGTACAGTAATGACAATGCCATTGGAGTTAATACTGCCTTAGTTAAAAAATTATGTTATTATTATTATTATTATTATTATTATTATTATTACATAATCTACAAATTTATAATCAGAACTCAAATTTATTTTTACTAATTTCACTTAAATATTTTTTGTTTGTACTGAAATATTGAATTGAAAATGCAATAAACTACAAATTCTGATTATGAATTAATAGTTAGAACTCAAACTTATTTTTATTATTTCTATTTAAATATTTTTTATTTATACAATATTAGATTTTATAATCGCAAATTTTTTATAAAAGGTAATGGTTTGTTAAATGAGAGTTTTAATAAGAAATAATAATTGTAACATATAATGATTATATAATAATAATAATAATAGTTACATTTATTATTATTACATAATTATT